GGATAGTTTGTGAAACTAATGTGTCCAGTCTATAGATCATTAAAAATGGGATGTGGTTGGAGGGCGCCACTGGTAGGTCCTTTCTTTACTTTCCTTCTGTTGTATTTATCTGTCTTACTTTTTTCCAGCACTACATGACTATTATTGCGTCGATGTGCTTCATTTTAACAACAACAAAAAACAACAACAAATAAACAAACAAACAAAACAAACAGGATAACGTGGTGACAGCTGTTTGTTACTGACGCCTCACGCACACACAACCACCGCTCCCTCCAACTGTCCTTGTGTTGAGTGGTCGTCTGACGCGCTGACTCCGGACAACAACCCATAGATCTAATGAGGTCAAAAATTCGTGGTGCGATTTATTTTCAAATATATCTCCCTATCGAAAATAGGTTCTCCAATATTTGCACAGTGACTTGTATCAATTTGTCTTAACAGATCAACATTTTTGTAAACACCTGCAAGCTGTATTCTAGAAAACTCCTTAATAAATACCTATAAAAAATCCAAGTGGGTGGTTTCTACAGATTTTTTAATGTTTACAGCTGGGGCAATATAGCTTTAAATAGCAAGTTCGTCAGGTTTTTCAAATCGGGACTTTAACTTTAAGCTTATTGAACGCATGGTTTGAGCGCCATTAGTGCAAACATGTGTTCACTATAACAATAATTTCTTGTAACAAGTTTTTGCAAGTAAAAATTGCCTTTGATGAGCTGTGACGTACGCCTTAGACTACTTAGAGCCGGGGTCCACAACGTCCGCACTCACGCTTCATCACAAATGATGTACGTTAACGTAGCGGGTAGCCCGTGTCCACAGCGTTCAAACAAGTACGTTAATTTTGTGTGTGCTCCAGACCTAGATCCAGAGAAATGGCGTTAACAAGGAAGAAGACATTTTTTATAGTGGTGGTTGAAGAGGAGGTATATGCAAGGCCGCCGCCTATTCCGGGTACATCCCGTATGCAAAGAACGAGGCAAAACAGGAGAATTTAGAATGTTGCACCAAATTCTTGATGATAATGAAAGATGGTTAGCATATTTTCGCATGACAAAGGCAAGCTTCCAAAGTCTTTTTGGATTATGTGGACTATTTCAAAAACAGAATACGAAATGGAGGAAGGCCATTCCACCAATTGAAAGGCAGACAGTTACATTGATGTAAGATGTTGCAGCTTGCTGCTTCTGATGTTGTTGTTGTTGTTGTTGTTGTTGTTGTTGTTGTTGTTCTTCTTCTTCTTCTTCTTCTTCTTCTTCTTCTTCTTCTTCTTCTTCTTCTTCTCCTTCTTCTTCTTCTTCTTCTTCTTCTTTTTTCTGTTGTCATTGTAGTAGGCCTATATGACCTACATAACTGGTCTCTACCGTATCTGTCATTTAAGTAAGAGCCCACTCTGTGCCTCCCTAAGAGCGTGTTTTTTTTCAGGCACATTTGTTTACTTTGAAAAATGGGAGCAAAAATAAACAAATAAACAAATAACAAAATGACTATTGAAATTCAGAACAACAAATTCAATAATTAACAATGATGTAAACGTTATTGACTATTCTTAAATCAACATGTCAAACGAAGAAACAAAACAACCCCCCCCAAAAAAAACCCAAAAAAAACCAACACACACACAAAAACACAGTTTGGAAACTGAGAATACAGAGATCAAAGTCAAGTGGCATTGATTTGATTTTAAATGTAAAAAAGGGCAAACAAAAGATAATAAACGAAATCAGTGTCGGTGAAGCCACAGCATGTACGGAAAATGTTTGACATGCTAGTGCTAGACGTCATACATTTTTCACGTGAGCGTGAGGAAGCGTGTCGTCTGCAGGGGGCCAAGGTAATATAGAAATAAAAGGTTGAACGCTTCCATACTCACTTTGTGAGTACGTAAGCGTACGAAAGCAGAGTATGTGGACCTTGGTTCTTATACGTATAATCAAAATGTGTGTGAGAAAGGGGAAGTGCTGTGAACAATAACATTTTACGCGTGACAGAGATTTCAAGTATTTTATATAACTTTATGAAGAAAAGTTTTTTAATAGAGCCCCAATTGTTCTAGAAAAATATTATTTAGTTAAGACAAATTGATACAAACTGCTATGCAAAGTATGGATGACACTAATTCACCTGTTAAAGAGATATTTGACGATAAGTTGCACCATGAATTTTTGACCGCGCTGTAGAAGACCTAGCATGCGCCTGAAACTGACTCCTCGCCAAATTGTGCTTGGGGATTTCATGAACCCTTTCAATGCCGATGTGTTTCCATTTTCATTTGTACAAACAATACAAAGTGTCTATTCACTATTCAAGGAAGATTTGAACAAAACCGATATATAAATATTTCCCCTTATAAACAATGCACAAGTTGCAAATCGCCACGACAGTCATGAGCTTCTTTCATTGTTTGTATCGCTCATCTTTGGTGAAAAGTAACCACTGCGCCGGTCACTGTCTTGGATTTGGTGTTTATTACCATAGTGTTATCTCCTTCTTATAAATCTACGTATTATTATTGTAACCAATGTTGCACTAACCAAGCACTAGCCTAAACGTGGGGGGGGGTTGCATTTAGGGTTGTTTCTATTACCATACAGAAAAATATCTCCCTACTTTTATTCTCATAAATAAATAAGCATGCAGGTCTACAACCACCTATCAACGCATTTAACTTGTACTTTTTACCTAAAGTAGCTCTTTACCTACCAGTTTAACGACATCATTCAACTTGATAGTGAAATTCTTTCAATTATATCTCTTTTTCTGTATATTAGTTGCACGTTTGTGTGCCTTTGTAGACTATACGTCTCTCTGTCTGTTTTTCGAAAAACCTCTTCAGAACCTTTCTTACTTCATGTATAAGTGCATGTGTGCGGATTTTTTTTTCCTTTGTTTTGTTTTGGTTCTGTTTACAATTACAATAATTCACGAGGTCACTGGAGCTTAGAAGGAGAACACGGTTGTATCTGAAATTTACGTGAAACTAAAGGAATGTGCAGAAGGTGAAAGATGTTATGAAGAATCAAAGGGGAATGGCACTGAGGAAATGGGGTAAAATCGCTCAGTTGAAGCATTGAAGGATCCAGATTCTATATAATTCATATTATAAAGCCAACAATATTTGGTGTAAGGGTCACAATCTTGTATCAAGATCACAACATACTGCAGTGAAGTTAATAATTGTGCACTTTTGTAGGGAATAAACTACATAGAACCAGTTGCTGAATGAGGGGGGGGGGGGGTCTTTCTTCTGCCAGTCTGGGTTAAGCTTACTGAACTAGAGATACGCGCACACAAGCCTTCAACACGCCAGTCTGCCACTACAGCAAGTCATTAAACTCCAAACCAATCACGCTCAATCCGTTTTCCAGCCCTCGACCCCGCGTGATCAATGTCAGGGATTAAAGGTGACAGCCCTGCCAAATATCGAAGCATTGCACTGCAATAATTGTTCCATCAAAGCCGATTAGTTAAATCTGGAACCAAAGACAGCCAACTTTCATTTGCCCTAAGGGTTCTCATGAGTAATTAAGCTTATTGCACGTTACATCCTGTCCTGTCCAACGAAAACAAAAGCCTACTATCGTGTATATGTGGGGGATACGGGGGG